AAGAACGGAGAAGGTTAACCCCACAAATAGGGAGGGAGGTCCCATTTTTTTGTGGGCCCCACCCACATTTGTGGGGCTTCTGTCAGGGAGATGGTCAGCCTTCCTCTTACAGAAACTTTTTTCTTCTTTTTTCCACATTTTAAAACTTAAATAGATTAATGAATGAATAAGTTATTAAATAGGATCCAGTCTTTTAGAAATCTTCGACAGGCTGTCGACTTACAACATCACTTCTAAAACTATAAGATTCAAAATTTTGTTCCTGAAATGATGGGAAACTAAGGGTTGATAAAATGTTGTCGAAATTGTAACGGATAGCATTTGATAGCCACAGCAATATCTACAACAATTCTGACAGCAATCCTCTATACTAGGGGAATTGCTGATGGCGTAAGTAGAATTTATCATGCGTCACTTCGAAAAGCCTAAACAAATTCGGTCCATTAGCTCACTTAGTTTTTCTCAGTTTTCAATTTGTTTTATTTTATTTTTTTTATACTTTGTCCAACAATATCTATTGAGTGTCACTTTATTTAAGAATGGATTTTGTAAAGAATGCCTTTTTTTATTTTTATTTTTAAATATGCGATTAAAAACATAGTGGTAGTTTATAAAATGGGCTATAAAATTAGGATACCACTTTCCATCCACTCTTTTTATATATACATCCACTTTTAAAAATAAATTTTTATTATAGTTTAAAATCATATGTAAATTTACTTAAATGGACATAAACATAATTAATAAAAATACATAATTCTAAATTGATCCATTAATTTTTATTTTCATTAAATTATTCTAAATCATTTTTTTATTCTTTTATTCTTTTAAAATTTGTGTTTAACTAGAATAATTTATTATCCATTAAAAGAACATCATATAAGCTAGTAAGAAGTCATGCTAAACCACCTAGTAAAATGGTGGCTTATTCACTCTAAATCCAAAAGAAAGGAATCTAAAGCTTGAATCTTTTAATAGACGTTCCATTAAATTAATCAAGAACTATGATACTAGTCTATGTGCAGATCTTTGACTCATTATTTTCTTAAAATAAAATAAATTCTAGCTAATGGCACTTTTTCAGCAATATCATAAAATACTGCAACAATACAGAGCAAATCGATAATAGATAGAGGATCTAAACAGAAGTTTTAAATTTATAAGTGGCACATTTCAATAAGAAATGGAAAGAAAACAATAGCAAAATCAGTACAAAAGCATACTTGAAGGAAAATATATTCAAACTAACAACATTATTTTAACGATTTTCAGCTATATTAAATGGGTGGGGTGGGGTGGGATGGGGTGTGGGCGGGGGAAGATATTACGATTGAGTTTTAATTAGCCCTTTCTAACTTCACCACTCTCCTCATAGGAATCAAAGATCTGTACAAAATCTTGAGGTTAATTGTATTCAACTAATGGAAGGAAAATGAAAAAGAAATATAAAAGCTCAGATTGGTTAGCCTTCGATTTCAACTTGTAATTTCTGAATAGTAAAATATGTGTCTAATGTACACAACTTATAATTTAGAAAAATTGCATTGCTACCACAAGATTTTAAACAAATTAACATGAAAGATGAAAAACCTAATGCAATGACATACCACATATCAATCCCAAAAGTGGGAAAAAGAAGATGAATTCTTGAGCTGAACACACAACATAGCATTGGATTCAAACGAATGGCTGAGGTTAGAGGTGGCATACCTTTGGCTGTGGTGAGAAAGATGGCGACAATTTGTCCCTGATAAATAATGGTTTGCCCTTGATGAATTGAGTTTTATGAATAAGAATGATAAAATTTCTAATAAACATTGTTAACATGGTTAGCTGAATAATATATGTTAATTTAATGCTCAATGAGTTCAACTTTGTTATTATTTCATTCATTTGGTTTAAAAGAGTTTATGATTTTAGAGTTTGTGTGAATTTATAGTGTTATGAATATATTTAAAATGAGATGAATATACAAAATTCATGTGGATATATAGTATTTAAATTAATGAAGTTAATAACAACAAGATTGGAATATAACGTGGATGCAAATAGTATTTTATTAAAAAATTTAACATTTTATTAGGGATGGATTTAGAGAGGGATGTACATATAAAAAATGTGGATGGAAATAGCGATACTTTAAAATTATTGTATTACGAGAATGTCAATTTTAAATGAATTTATCTAATTTCTAATAAAAAGGGAAATGAGGGTCTACTATTGATGCAATAGTAACTTAATCCAATTTTACTATGCATGATGTCATTTTTTATTTTGTTTATGTCAAACAAACGTTATTCCACGCATCATGCCACTAGTATTAAAAAAATAATTATGTCAAGCAAATGTTCTTCAACACATTATGCAACTAGCATTAAAATTATTATTATTTTTAAATTTAACCTGTCACGAGCAAAAAAAAAATAAAAAATCTTCACACATGAGTTTTAAAAAAAATAATAATAAATTCTCCGTACAGTACGGAGAGATGACAAATCATGTGCGGAGTAAAAAATGAAGAAAAAATCCTCCGCATAGTGCGGAGAAATGACAAACTATGTGTAAAGAGTTTTACAGTGCGAAGTAAAAAAAAAGCTTTCCACACAGTGCGGAGAGATGGTAAATACCACGGTAAAACTCTCCACACAGTGTCGAGAAATGACATTTTTGTGCGGATACTGTCCTCACAAAATGCGGACTCTCCGTACAATGCAGAGTAAAAAAAGCAAAAAAAAAAATTCGCACAATGCGGAGAGTTGGCAAACTCTCCCTACAGTGGAAAGTTAAAAAAAAAAAAAATCTCCGCAGAGTGACTGTCACGTGCGCTGCACGAATTTTGCATTTATCGTATTTTTATTAGTGTATGAATTTTAATTTTTTGGGAAGTTTTTGAAGCAATATCTAGAAATATTTCCATGATATAAGAAAATAATTATAAATTATTTTTACAATTACATAACATTATTGTGTCATCTAAAAAATATACTTGTATATTTCATATTTGAATAAGAAATAAACGAGATTATCCAAATTAGTTTGCGTGTATTCTTTGATGGTGTTGATATGATTGAGTTGAATGTGAACATTATATTTCTAAATTTTGTATAATTCAATATTGACAATTTGAAGATTAAGCACTATATTCATATGCATTTATATTTTGTACTTCATATATATTTAATATTTATTTTATTCTTATGTTGAAAAAATAAAAATCTAGAATTTTTTTTTGAAATTTGGTTTGGTAAGTGAATGTACGGTGTTCTGCATTTTCGGTATTTGTAAGTGCAAAAATCGATATATAAAAATACAGTAAGCTGCAAATACGGTAGGCAACATATACGATAAGCCGTAAATACAGTAAGGTGAAAATACGATAAGCCGTAAATACGGTAATGTGAAAATACGATAAGTTATTTGCAAATACGGTAGAATGTAAATACGATAAGTTGCAAATACGGTAGACAACATATACGGTAAAGTGCAAATACAGAAAGTTGTTTGCAAATACGATAGGCTGGCAGCATATACGATAAGCTGTATATACGGTAAGTTGCCTGCAAATACGGTAATATCGAATTTCTTAAGTATTCAATGTTGTAATTCAATATTGTTTCCTTTTTTATAATTGTATTTCAAAGAATTAAAAAAAAATGGTTATGAAATTACTAATTTTTAAATGTTTTTTTTGTTAAAGATAAAAATGATTTTTTAATGTTATTTATAAAAAAATTTTATCGTAATTTTATTAGCGTAATAAGAAGATTTATTATGCATTTTTATTTTTTACATTTTGAGAAGAATTTTATTTATGGTGATTGAAAAATATTCTTCCACATACGCATCATGCCAACAACATTAAAAAAATAATAATAAATTTAATATATATAAACTCTATAAGACAAAAAAAAATCTTCGCATATGAGCAAAAAAAAAAAGACTTAGCAAAGTGCGGAGAGATGACAAATGTTCAAGAGCTATCATCAAACAAATGTAAAATATGAAATTTGGGTGGTACCCTAGAGCCTCCATTTGTGAAAGCAATATCATGGTACAAGCAATATTTCCTTCTTTGCACAACTCACATATTGTTTCATTGTATCAATCACGAAAAAATTCATTTTCAATACTGTAAATATGATTTGCATGCTCAGAAATTGAGCTGTGACTGGAATTTAAAGAAGACATAATTGATTTTGAGCCATGTTTTTCGACTCTGTTTTGTCGTATATACGAAAAATTTACAATTTTGAAATTTGACTTGTAATTAAGAAATTTGAAAGCAACTCTACACATTGTGAGGAGAGTTTTTTTTCTCTTTGTACTGTGCGGAGAGTTGGTTTGTCATCTCTCCACACTGTGCGGAGAGTTTTTTTTTACTTCACATTGTGCGAACAATTTGCCAACTCTCCGCACTTTTTTTACTCTGCACATGATTCAACTTTCTACGCACTGTACAAAGAGATTAACTCTCTCCGCACAGTGCGGATAGTTGGTTTGTCATCTCTCCCAACTCTCTGCACTATGCGAATATTTTTTTTATTACTCCGCACATGGTTCAACTCTCTTCGCACTATGCAGATAGTTTATTTCTCTCTATACCTTTTTTTATTTTTTATTTTTACTCGGCACTTGATTCAACTCTCTCTACACTGTACAGAGAAATTTTTTTTCCAATTTTACAATATTGAATTACACAAAATTTAGAAATATAATCTTCACATTCAATTCAATCATATCAACACTATCAAAAAATACAATCAAAATAGTTTGTATATTTCTTATTCAATCATGAAATATACAAGTATAATTTTTCTAGATAACATATTATTATGTAGTTATAAAAATAATTTGTAATTACTTTCTTATATCATGGAAGTACTTTTAAATACTTCTTTAAGAATTTTTCAAAAAAATTAAATTTTTACATTAATAAAAATACGATAAATATAAAATTATTGGAGCGCATAGCGATTAGTCTTAAGAATAAGGCCAAAGAATTAAGTACCCCCTTGCCCAAATCACCAGTCACAAGTATCTGCAGAAAGAAAGGAGCTGAAATAATAACAGATAAGATCCACTCCGTATGTTCTCAAATTGAAAATCAGCACTGCACCCCCTCTCTCCCTCCCTCGCCATCCCACTCGCCCACCATGTCTGGTTTTACCAGCATTTTCCATCAACCCTTAAAACTTCAACTCTCCGATCCCCTCAGACCCCTCTCTTTTCACTCAAACTTCTTTACTCTCCGCTTTCAAGGCCCCGCTACAAGGTGGCTCTCCGTTTCTTCTACAACCACCGTCGCCACCACCGCTATTGTATCTCGCTACGGCGGAGGAGGTGGGTCCTCCCGAAGGCCCAAGACCAACGATGATCAGGCACTTGATATTTCTTCCATCAGGTAACTATAAGGCTTTTTTCTTTCTAAATTGTCATAAAAATAGAATCTTTAATACTATTATCACTAAAAAGAGGATTTTTGTGTAGAATTTTACATATGAGTAATTGATATTGGTGTTTGCTGTTTTTTATTAGGTCGGATAGAGTTAGGCTTATTGATCAGCAGCAAAACATGGTGAGTATTTGTACTACTACAAAATGTGTATATTGTATATGCTTTACTAGTGATTGCATAGTGATGCACAAAATGGGTATTAAATTGGTGTCTCCTGCATTGTATAGGTAGGAATAGTGTCAAAAGGTGAGGCTTTACAAATGGCTGATATTGCAGAGCTTGACTTGGTATGCACTCAATTTTGATGTGGAGTTTGTAAAAATTCTTTGTTTTTAATGTTTTTGGATTTTTATTATTTATGGTGGGATAAATATTCTGCCAGTTATGCTATTAGTTACTGCTGTGGTAATGGTTGATTTTGTGGGGGGCAATTTTAAGTTAATTGTGTTAATTATTTACACTTATAGTGGATATAGCCCACGTTTGAGTCACATTATCCGAAATTTAATTTTTATCAAACTCATTTTCAACTACACATTCCCCCAATAAATTAATTTACACACAAACCCAAAATTTTTCACCACTTTTTAAGCACACATTCTTCAAAAAAAAAAATAATAATAAAAAAAATAAAATAAAATTGCAAAACCCATTTTCCCCAAAAAATGAGGCTCAAACAAAGCCATAATATTCATCTTCAGTTCTTTCTCTTTCTTTTTCTGAGGGGAAGAGTTTTGGAAGGAGGGGGTGGGGTGGGTTTGGCAATTTAAAGACAGGATTCTATTGTTAAATTTTTCAACAGTTGGTGTAGATGAAAGTAAAGTATGGGTCAAGTGGGTTACTATTCTTTCAGATGAGGGCTGTCACACAGACCGTCATTCAGTATTGGGATTAGTTTCAATATATAATTAGTTTTCAAGTGCATAGCAAGATCGTGTATTTTACATATAGAACCCGAAGTGTCCTGCCACTGCTTGACCCATCATCATGGTTTTTTACTGCACTTAATTTCGAACTGGATATAAATTTATATAACAAGTCACATTAGAAATAAGAAAATGTGATTATGTAAAAATATATTATGATCTCTATCAGAAGAAAAAATAATTAGTTTTTTATGAAAACAAATATATTGTGTCAACTAAGAAACAATAAGTTTATTCCATAATTGTCAAAAGAAAAAAAATTTAGATGCTAATAATTGCTGTTGAAAAATCAAATAAATAATTCAATGATTCAGACAGGTCTGCTCTTATAAAGTTTAAAAATTGACTTATCCCACGTTTGCTGCTCCAGCAGATTCTAGTTTATGTATCGACATCATGAAACAAGTGTTGCACAAATGGTTGACAACAACCGGACAATCTGGTGGCTGATTCAAGTCTGACACAACCTTGTTTCCTTCTTGGAAATGCATGTCCTTTTAGGGGAAAATTTTATGTTAATCAGTTCAGGCAATGAAACTTGTGGCCCATTACTTCTAGTATATTTTTTTTCCCAGTGTTTTTCTTCATACAAGTCTTTTTCTCTATATTTATGAGAAAAGGAGTGAGTAATTTTAACCCTGGTTTTCAGATATTAGTCTTCTCGGAAAATTGTAATGCAATACAATAAATCCTCTCCTCATGAAATCAGATTTTGTTTCTACTGATTACATCTTGATGCAAGCTCTGCATGGCATTTGTGTACAGTGTGGCTGTGTATACTGGACCTTTTGTTACCGGAGATGAAAGCTACCTTTTCTCAATTCTCACACAAGATTAATGTCTGTTAATGATGTTTTGCATTTTCCTTGCTTTTATCTTTTAGGTGATATTATCTCCAGATGCCGATCCTCCAGTTGTCAGAATAATGGATTACAAGTAAGACATATATGCCTTATCTATTCTGGTAATTGCCTCAGAAATTTTTGTATTATTAGCTAACTAAATTAAATTGATTAATCTATCTAAATTTTGCTAGAACAATCAGCACTGCACCCCCTCTCTCCCTCCCTCGCCATCCCACTCGCCCACCATGTCTGGTTTTACCAGCATTTTCCATCAACCCTTAAAACTTCAACTCTCCGATCCCCTCAGACCCCTCTCTTTTCACTCAAACTTCTTTACTCTCCGCTTTCAAGGCCCCGCTACAAGGTGGCTCTCCGTTTCTTCTACAACCACCGTCGCCACCACCGCTATTGTATCTCGCTACGGCGGAGGAGGTGGGTCCTCCCGAAGGCCCAAGACCAACGATGATCAGGCACTTGATATTTCTTCCATCAGGTAACTATAAGGCTTTTTTCTTTCTAAATTGTCATAAAAATAGAATCTTTAATACTATTATCACTAAAAAGAGGATTTTTGTGTAGAATTTTACATATGAGTAATTGATATTGGTGTTTGCTGTTTTTTATTAGGTCGGATAGAGTTAGGCTTATTGATCAGCAGCAAAACATGGTGAGTATTTGTACTACTACAAAATGTGTATATTGTATATGCTTTACTAGTGATTGCATAGTGATGCACAAAATGGGTATTAAATTGGTGTCTCCTGCATTGTATAGGTAGGAATAGTGTCAAAAGGTGAGGCTTTACAAATGGCTGATATTGCAGAGCTTGACTTGGTATGCACTCAATTTTGATGTGGAGTTTGTAAAAATTCTTTGTTTTTAATGTTTTTGGATTTTTATTATTTATGGTGGGATAAATATTCTGCCAGTTATGCTATTAGTTACTGCTGTGGTAATGGTTGATTTTGTGGGGGCAATTTTAAGTTAATTGTGTTAATTATTTACACTTATAGTGGATACAGCCCACGTTTGAGTCACATTATCCGAAATTTAATTTTTATCAAACTCATTTTCAACTACACATTCCCCCAGTAAATTAATTTACACACAAACACAAAATTTTTCACCACTTTTTAAGCACACATTCTTCAAAAAAAAAAAATAATAAAAAAAAAATAAATAAAATTGCAAAACCCATTTTCCCCAAAAAATGAGGCTCAAACAAAGCCATAATATTCATCTTCAGTTCTTTCTCTTTCTTTTTCTGAGGGGAAGAGTTTTGGAAGGAGGGGGTGGGGTGGGTTTGGCAATTTAAAGACAGGATTCTATTGTTAAATTTTTCAACAGTTGGTGTAGATGAAAGTAAAGTATGGGTCAAGTGGGTTACTATTCTTTCAGATGAGGGCTGTCACACAGACCGTCATTCAGTATTGGGATTAGTTTCAATATATAATTAGTTTTCAAGTGCATAGCAAGATCGTGTATTTTACATATAGAACCCGAAGTGTCCTGCCACTGCTTGACCCATCGTCATGGTTTTTTACTGCACTTAATTTTCGAACTGGATATAAATTTATATAACAAGTCACATTAGAAATAAGAAAATGTGATTATGTAAACATATATTATGATCTCTATCAGAAGAAAAAATAATTAGTTTTTTATGAAAAGAAATATATTGTGTCAACTAAGAAACAATAAGTTCATTCCATAATTGTCAAAAGAAAAAAAATTTAGATGCTAATAATTGCTGTTGAAAAATCAAATAAATAATTCAATGATTCAGACAGGTCTGCTCTTATAAAGTTTAAAAATTGACTTATCCCACGTTTGCTGCTCCAGCGGATTCTAGTTTATGTATCGACATCATGAAACAAGTGTTGCACAAATGGTTGACAACAACCGGACAATCTGGTGGCTGATTCGTGTCTGACACAACCTTGTTTCCTTCTTGGAAATGCATGTCCTTTGAGGGGAAAATTTTATGTTAATCAGTTCAGGCAATGAAACTTGTGGCCCATTACTTCTAGTATATTTTTTTTCCCAGTGTTTTTCTTCATACAAGTCTTTTTCTCTATATTTATGAGAAAAGGAGTGAGTAATTTTAACCCTGGTTTTCAGATATTAGTCTTCTCGGAAAATTGTAATGCAATACAATAAATCCTCTCCTCATGAAATCAGATTTTGTTTCTACTGATTACATCTTGATGCAAGCTCTGCATGGCATTTGTGTACAGTGTGGCTGTGTATACTGGACCTTTTGTTACCGGAGATGAAAGCTACCTTTTCTCAATTCTCACACAAGATTAATGTCTGTTAATGATGTTTTGCATTTTCCTTGCTTTTATCTTTTAGGTGATATTATCTCCAGATGCCGATCCTCCTGTTGTCAGAATAATGGATTACAAGTAAGACATATATGCCTTTTCTATTCTGGTAATTGCCTCAGAAATTTTTGTATTATTAGCTAACTAAATTAAATTGATTAATCTATCTAAATTCTGCTAGAACATTGACAAATATAATCAGTTAATAGCAGTTTGGAAGATAGCTAAGCGCTCGTTAAATTTAGATTACTCAGTGGTTAATTAAAAAATGTTGTATATTTCTATCCACATTCAATGTCCTGTATTTGTTATCTATTTCTTTGTTACAGTTGCTGAGAGGTTGAAGTGCATTGTTGGGTTGTTTTTATGATGCAGTAAATATAGATATGAGTTGCAGAAGAAGAAACGAGATCAGCAGAAGAAAAGTCTTGGTGAGAGACCGATTTTCAAACACTGCCATTTTTCTCTATTTCTGATATTAATTAAGATTGGAAAATTACTTGAATTGACGTGCTGATTTTAATGGCAGCTAGCCGCATGGATTTGAAGGAACTGAAGATGGGGTATGGTTTATAGTTAGGGAATTTATAATTCTAGTTCTCTTACAAAATTTTGAGTTTTCATAGTCTCCTGATCTTGTGCTAATTCATATTTTAATTGCCGGTATGTAAAACTAAAATAATTACAGTAATTACTTCTTCTTTTTTTTTCTTTTTACTTGCTGCCTTCTAGTTTTTCCATGTTCTACATGTGAGCTGATTGAAATGGAAACTAAGCTTTTTAAGCTTGGAGTGCAGAACTCCAGCAGTTTTAACATTTTTTATATGTATTTTTGTTGCTGATTGCTTGGGCTGTTAAAGCACAAGATATCTATGAAATGAAATATGGAAATTTCTTTCTCACTATCATATTTACAAGTTTCTTGTCTTGGAAATGCTGTTCACTTTACATACTTCATTCTTGAGCGAGGATGGTTAACCTATATGCATCTCCACTTCTATGGACGAGTCTTCTTGTTGTCTGTAGCATAAAGGACTTGTATACAAGCAAAAGAATACTAGATGTTTTTAGCTGTCATAATTGTCTTCTACTGAAGGAATAGATGTAGGATTATCAACAGCCAGTATATGTTTATGTTATATAGCTATTATATTGATAATCCACGTGTACATGATAAAAAGGTATTCGTGAGCCATGTGTTATAAATAAATAATAATAATAATAATAATAATAATAATAATAATAATAATAATAAAATCATTCTTTATACCTTGTCCAGTGATACTTGTATCCTGTGGTGCACTGATACGGATGTGTCGGATGCACTAACGCGTGATTTTTCCAAAAAATACTGATTTGACATGTTGCCGACAGGGAGGGAGGGAGATGATCTACTAAACGCCTTTGCTAAGCTTATGCTAAGCAATAGTGACATGATACATTAATTAATTGGTAAATAAGTTAATGTTGGGTCCTAGGAATTAAATTAGGCCTGTTGAATTGATTTGCCATGTAATTGTTGCTTAGTATTTCATTTCTCTATATAAAAATATGTATTTTATTTTCTCAATAAGCATTTATTGCAAACAAAATTAATGTGCATGATTACTCCATATTATCTTGAAACTTTTACTGCTTTTGATGGCAGTTACAATATTGATGTGCACGATTACTCCGTGCGTTTGAAAGCAGCTCAGAAGTTTCTAAAAGATGGTGATAAGGTTTCTTTCAATTCTTATGGCTTCACATTCAATTACTCGTAAATGTACAATTTTTTAATGTACATTCGTTTCTCCCTATGCTAATGATATTCAGAGGATTTCTGCAGGTAAAGATTATAGTGAGCTTGAAGGGGCGTGAAAATGATTTTAGAAATAATGCCATCGAGCTCATCAGACGGTTTCAGAATGATATTGGGGAGGTAATTTGTACTATATATCTTCACCTTATCAAATGAATGTCACAAGTGAATTGCTTATTTTCTGGGTTATACTTTTTGTTACTTTGTGACCTTCCATAGTCCTGGTGCTTGTTTCTGAGTAGAATTAAAACTACAAGTGCAAACTGTAGTACTGGGTCTAAAAGAGTTTTACATCTGGGAATTTTTTCCCTTTTCTTTGTCTTTCTGTTGATAACTTTTCTTTGTTTCCCGAATGATGCGTTAGACACGCACAATTTCATTGATGATTTCTATTCTCATTGGTTCAAGACTTCCCCTCTAGAGGTGCTCCGTTTGGACCATTTCGCTGTGGTACTAACTAGCAGACTTCAGAAGACATTATTTAATCACAATTAGTAACTGATAGTTGTCGGTAATGTTGGTATCTGCATCTCCTTTGGATTTTGCAAAAAAGTCCATTCCTTGTGTTAAACCATAATAAGAACTAATCTCCCCATAAATCATTAGTATGTCTTATTAGAACTTTACTTTCTTACCTCGTTAGCCTAGCAATGTCTACAAAACACAGTCAGGGGTTGCAAACATAGCAGCATGTGGTTTTTCAGAGGAGGGCACGGTCATGTAAGGGACATGTCGGTCGTGTTCAATATGTTTTACTATCTGATGTGTTGAACACTAACTCTTTACCTTGCTGGCGTATCTGTGCTTCACTGGGAGTGGAGCGGTTACATTCATACTTTATTAATCTACACCCGCACAATAAATATTAAGTTTACATATTTGCTCTCCGAGTCTCTCTATTTGAGTTTATGCGTCTCACAAATAAAACCAAGCTTCCAACCATTTTGTCTTTCAGATATAGGTAAGCTTCAGTCTCCGCTGACTGCTACATAAAATTACCTCATCACTAATCATGTTTAGGATCGAAACCAGCTTCAGAACCAACATTTTGCTCTCTCTTCACTTCAACCTGACGCCCACTTGTTAGACGATTCACAAATTTTTTGATGGTGGACTGTAAGATTTTTATTTTTATTTTTATTATTTATTATTATTATTATTATTTTGCACTATTGTTGGGTTTGGTTTACATGTAAAGCAAAAGCCAACTTTTCGTTGATTTGTGTATGCTATAATTTTATGTTGTGTTTAATGAGTTTAATTTCATCTCCTTTGATAAAGGCCTGTTTGGAGCTTGAATTCAGAATGTTTCTTTCATTTCATCCATACCTAGAAAGTGACAATGAGGATTCCGGCAATAAACTAAGAATATTATGTTATTCCTTAATTTTCGCTGCTTCTGCGCACATCCGAATGCTTCTTTTTGTTGGACGTTCTTTGTTACTGTCGTGTCTGTGCCATCTCTTATTTTCGATCTGCATTTCTTTTTTGACACGTTCACAGCTTGCCGTTGAGGAGAACAAGAGTTTCCGCGATAGGAACATCTTCATAATATTGGTTCCTAATAAAGCCGTTGCTCAAAAAGCTCAAGAACTGCCAAAGAAGGATAGGTCGACAGCAAATGAAGTATCAGCAGGAGTCTAAGTGTATTAAAGAAATAGCTGTTAGTATAGACATTTATCTTCTGACTAAACCTGGGAGCTTGCCAACATCCCATTGTCTTGCATGGGTTTCTGCTTCCCAGTATACTCACAAGGATACAAAAGGTGTTGGTAAGAGAAGCTATTGTAATCTCTGCCACCAGCTTATAAATGGTGGATTTCACTCTGTTCTGGTTTCCTCAAGCAATGTATTCATAATAATTATTTATTAATTCAAATACAAAATCTATTGCATTGAAAACCCTTTTTCTGCAAGAATGATGCAACAAACTTTTACTTATAAGTTGTAGGTTTCAAAATGTATTCAGTTCAACGTACAATACGTGTTCTTATGGGCTACATGGTAGTTGCAACCAAAGTTTTTCTGTTATTTTGATTATAGGATTCGTGTCTTAGAAAAAGGAGTTTTAGATCCATAAATCTACTAACAACGCTGCATATGGCATAACTTTATGATAGTGCTAGTTACCATGGAGACGATATGCTTGGACAATGAAAACCAGAGCTCAAAAATCAAAATATAGAGACCCAATGAACCAAAAATTTCTCAAGCTCAACCAAAATTTGAACTGTTTTAAGCATCAAAATTACAACAGTAACCCATTTGAGTTAGTTAAGCAATACCATAAAAAAAGAAAAAAAGAAAAAGAAAAAATGAAAGAGAGGACAGTTATCTATTCTCATCAATTATGACTAACGCAAGCTCAAAGTTTCTTATGAAGATGGACTGAGATGACAAAGGTAAACAACGAGAAACAGTTAATTCAAAAATGGATTAATACTTAAAATTTCCAACAAAATATATCAAATCAAAAGCTTCTGAACTTATGAACTGTATATCATAAATTCATTATAAAGTACATCTAACACAATTTACAATGAATTCATTGCTAAAGATCAAGTTAAACCTCTCTTTCTTTAGCACATGGTCTGCACAACAAGGCTGTCTTCTCTCCAAGAGCCTGATTAGCAAATGTATGCCTGCTCAAATGCCGAATAGGCCAGTTTTCTGCATACTCTATATTGCTTCGAGCAATTGCATCTTCATTGGTCCCTGCTTAGCAATTAAATCTACTAGAGATTAATGCCGTTGGATGCTTGATATCTTCTTCAAGATTTAAACATCTTTTTTACACATTATATCGCAGGTGCAATGTCTCATCCAGCAGGACTTTTCATATTCAATCATTCCTTTGCATGCTTCATAATCTCTTCAGCTTCAAGGGTTGGGGACCTTGGGGTAAGGGAGTTGGAGAAGGGTGATAGGATAAAATCCATCTTGATTTTAATTAATTTCGTTACAAGGACAATTCTGTACTTTTACAGCCTTGTATATTTGTATGACGCTAATATCCATCCCGCCAAACATATTTTTCCGGGTGACCGTAACTTCAATATATTTGCATTCTTTCCTTCACATTTTTCTGTTGATAATACAATAGATTACATGCAAAAAGAACGAATAAAATAATCACTTACAACAAATGGACTTGCTGATAAATCTTATTTGCTGAGGCAGTAAAACTGTTGTTAGCGTCACATATTCGAAGACACGATTAGTTTTATTTGCCAAATTTTGGTGGTTCACCACTGCTCAAGCTGGTCTCAACTGTATCAACTGAGTCCTACGGCTGTGTTCTTCTGCCTGCTTTGGGTAAAACATTATCAGACGAAGCAGCTATTGTATACACAGATCAGAAAATTATGTAAAGAACACAACATAAAAACTAATTCTTTTTTAGGAAATGGACACAACAATATACGAAGAAGCTGGTATTAACGTCCAATATACCTTGAGGGTAACTGATGTCGAATATAGAACAAATAAAAGAAAGACAATCGAGAAAACCACAAATTTTCCAGTGGGCCCAATATAATAGTCAATATACATTTTGTCCTTTTGGTTTACACTACCCTTTTGAATAAATATCTTCCTTTTTTGCTTCATACTAAGTTTCTACAAGTTCCTGAGTCTATAGCCTAATATTTTGACAACATATCGGATTTCCAAGCGTTCAATTGAAAAAGTGACTGTAGTTTGCCTCTCTTCTTTAAATGTGATTTCTTTAAAAGAAAGAATTGAGATAGAGATAGACAGAGACAGAGGCATAGAGAGTGGCAGCAACAAGGAGAGTTTTTAATATGAAGATGACATGGTCTTACATCCATGGACGGTTACTACCATGCGAAAGGAAGAATACAGAGGAAGAAAAGTATTTTTTTTTTTTTTTGCCTTTTTATATGCATGCTAACTGTGTATCCAATTATTTTTCTTCCTTTTTACTTCAGAAAAATTGGATTATAAATGGAATTCCTATACATGGAGTCCATGCAGCAATAAATTGGAATAAATTTTTGCTATGAATGGTTTCTTAAGTATTGGAAAAACAATTTATGTACACAGCACTTCGTGTGGGTGGGGACCATCCTATATCCCCTTGGCCCTCTGTCCCTCCACTGCAGTATACAATAGTTCTTGACAGTGCATTAGTGTTTGACAACATCTATTGCATAACAATAACAAGCAATTTCAAGGTGCAATATCGTAGCACTTCCTCACCTGGATAGCCGCCGTGTAAGCCAAAAGAGATTCACATTCATCAAGCATCGCTCTCCCTTGTGAAGCTACTACAGCAAGATCAGAAACCGCACTGTTCATTCCCTCCACCTGCATTATATAAAAGAAATCAGATCAAGTCATTTTAAGTGAGGTCTTAAAAGTTTGAGGTGAGGATACAATATGAAACACAAATATGACTATTGGATTAGACATATTTATGAACCAATTTATTGATGAAACAACGAAAGTCTAATCTAGGCGCAGGAGAAATTAAGCTCCCGTTTGGCCCCCATTTTGTGGAAATGAAAATGAGCGAAATAGTGTTTTTTTGAAAAATGAGTGGCTGAAAAAGAAAAAAATGTTTTTCGATTTACGTGTAATATTATTTTATAAAAGAGTGCGTGGTTGAAAATATGAGAGAGAAAAATGAAATGTAATGAATTGTAATGTAATGTAGGCCAAACGGGGGCTAAATCAGTTAAAGTTTATAGTTGAGTGTTGGACTTGGGTAATACGTATATTGTTAGGCTTCAGAAAAGTGGGCTGAAATTCTGGTGAGTTTTGAGCAGCACAGTTAATGTCAGGATTTGTGCAATTGAATTTCTCGATTGTTTTTAACTAACTAATAATAATTACTAAAAACAGAGGTCAAACTCCATATTTCAACTGCTCCTTTTTTCCTTTTCTTCTCTTTTTCTTTTTTTTTTTTTTTTGGTGGGGGGGTTGGGG